CACTACAATACAGTGTGTGAGTGTGTGTGTGTGTGTGCGTGTGAGTGTGTGTGAGTGTGAGTGTGTGTATATGTGCGTGTGTGTGAGTGTGTGTCGAGATCTGATAGAAAATCTGAGTGTGAAAACATAAAAAGCTTTGACCGATGTCAACTTTTCAAAAAGTTAGTACTGAGATATTTTCAGGATTCAGCCAATCATCTGTCTGAGTGACATCATCCGACGACTGTTTCCACATCTGGCTTGAAATTCAGATCCAGATGATTTCTTGATATGTATTCATGCACTGAACCTTGTGAGGCTTTGGTACCAGGTTCCTCCTTGTCTTTCACTGTATTTCAAAAACTGGGACTTTTTGCAGTGTGTTATTCATGTCGTAGCTGTATACTCCACTGTGCTCCTTGATCTTTTAAAACACTGTTAGGCAGTGTCTTGTATCCTCATTTCTGGAACACACTGAGAAATCCTCTGGTCTATCCTTTGGTTTCTAACTGCTGACTCCAGCTCCCTCTGAACGGCTTCCTCTTCTCAAATCCTAATGAGGGCCTGGAAGTCTTTGTTAGCGGTGTCATTTTAGCACATGCCCCAAAACAACATATGCTTACGTTCAAGTGACAAAGCCTTCTAACGGCCAGAGTAATTAAGGCTGCTGTCAGTGTGGAGTAAAGGAGCAGGGTTTCCACATGTCCTGGAAAACATGGAAAACCTGAAAATTTAGAGACTAGTGATCCAGTCATGGAAACATCTGAACAAATATCCTGGAAATAATCTATTTTCTCCTGGAAGTTTTTAATTGCATTTTAGCCCTTCATTCAGATCTACGCTTAAGCATTTTGTTTGAAACTCGGAAATGTCCTGGAAATGTCCTGGAAAATGATTTATTAAAAAGAATGGGGAACCCTGAAGGAGGTTGTGCTGGATTGATCGTTGGATTTTTGCACAGGGTTTCGTAACAAAAGGCAACATTAGTTTCTTTTAACCACATCCCCTAACCATAAACAATTGTATGTTCTTGTTACCATGACAATAAGGAACAAATGAGTCAGTGGAACAAACTGGAATCTCGAATACTTAAAATAGTGCACACTTTTAAGTACACTTGAAACAACTGAGTTATTATTTCAGCAATTCATTTTGGAGTTAGGGTTAGTGCATGTAAATTAGTTATTTTGGAGGAATAATTGATGTCTCTTCTTTTATTAAGATGTGTTGTCGGGTTTTACAGTGTAATAGAATAAAAGCACCTGTAAATGTTTTTTCCATGCATATTTTTGGAATAAGATCTGCTTATTTTGTATTTTTATATTCTTGATGTTTTGAGTTGATTATTTAGGTTGTTGGACCTGATGATATGTTCTGGTTGTATAGGTTGTATTTTGTATTTTGGATTGGTCTGCTTGTTTTTGTTGTCTTTTTGTATGTGTGTTTGTCTTTTAATTATGTTGTTGTGAATTAAAAAATAAAAAAAAGTTTTAAATAGTTTGACCTGCACAGAGCCCTGACCTTAACCCATATAACACCTCTGTGATGAACTGGAACCCTGGCTGTGAGCCAGACCTGCTCACTCAACATCAGAGCTGGACCTCACTAGCGTTCCTGTGTCTGAATGGGAGCAAATCCCTGCAGCCAGGTTCCAACATTGGCTGGGAAGCCGGAGGAGTGGAGGCTGTTACAGCAGCAGATGAATCACCAACCATTGTCTTATAATGACACGTTAATGAGTTTCTCTTAATATTTACCTCATCTCAGCTCTTCACTCCCTGCTCTCTTTCTGCCTCTTGTCTTTCAGAGCCCGGGGTGAGCAGGAACCTCCAGTTCCTCCAGCGTCCATCCAGAGTAACGGCTCTGCTGGGAGCCGACGCCGTGCTGGAATGCTCCGCCTCCGGATACCCGACTCCGACCATCCAGTGGAGAAGAGGAGAGGAACTGATCCAGAGCTGGTCTGTCTGTTTGACTGTCTGCTTAAATGTGTTTATATTACACACTATCCCATAATAATCCATTCTCAGGGTATTGCTTTGCACATTACAGCCCCACATGGCCAAGTCATTAGTGTAAGTCTAGTGATTATATATTGTATTTTTCTTATTGTCAACAAATCCCCCCAAAAAGCAACAATACTAACAGCTATTGTGTGCCCTTGTGTGTATTATTAGCTTTACTGTTGCACTGACTGATGTTCCTTCATTAACACACGCTGTAGTTTATTTTAATCCTACACACACTGTCCAGCTACTCAGTAAATACTCACTAAAGCACCAAATGTGGATTAATCTGCCGCTGAAAATAGTCCCAACAAACTATTTCCTCCTGTTTGGGTAACTTTTGGCCAGCTGTTTTAGGAAATTAGAAACGTTTTCAAAGCTAAATGATGCTGATATATCTACTAATATTTACACTCTCAGTATCAATGGGGAACCTGAGGGACACATCATTGGTTCAGGTCTTTTGACAGCATTTATTGAGAAAAAAAAAGATTTATATCCATCCATCTTACTTTAGGAAGTAAGTTATCAACTGATAAAGCAAACATGCAAAAAAATAAAAACTCCCTCTTCCTCCCTCTGTAGGAATAAGAAGTACTCTCTTCTGGCGGGCAGTAACCTGATCATCCGGAGCGTCACTGACGATGACTCGGGCGGCTACAGCTGCACAGCTACAAACAAGAACCACAACATCACTGCACACGCAGAGCTGAGTGTACTGGGTGAGTGTTTCGGGGCATTTATTGTCTTTATTTTGATAGCAAACAGTAGAGAGGTGACAGGAAACAAGGGGACAGAGAAAAGAGAAGGGAAGACGTGCAACAAAGGTCCCTGGCTGTTGCGATTACATGCTTGATGTCTTAAAACACTAGGCAAAAGGGACTCCCCCACCTAAACCTGATTCTAGCATCAACCCTGAAACACTCTTATACCATAAACAGACTCGACTAAATGTCTCTCTACACTTACATTAATCCCCTACGGCTGCAACAAATGATGATTTTCATTATCGATTAATCTGGTCCATAAAATGTCAGAACATAATGAAAAGTGATGCTCAGAGCCCAAACTGATGTCCTCAAATGTCTTGTTTTGTCCTCAACCCAAAGATATTCAGTTTACTGCCATAGAGGACTAAAGTTTTTTTTTTTTTAAATGACCAATAATTGATTTTCAAAGTAACTGTTGATTAATAATTAATCTACTAGTTGATTAATCAACTAATCGTTTCAGCTCTAAAATTCTCCCATAGAAGTACAAGAACACACACTTCGGTGCTCAGTGTTGTGTGGAAAATGAAAGAATGAAGCATTGTCACTTCTCAAAGCTCTCAAGGGGAGGAATAAAAAAATAAATAAAAAAGAATCCTGGACTGGAAACTGTTAACAGCCTGACATCCCCGAAACGATACAAATAAATAAAATAGAATAAAAAATGGTCCACCATTCCTCCGCTGTCTGCTGAAACGCTCTCAGGGACAGAGCACCACATCCAGAATCAAATGCAGCCGTGAAATATAAAATCGGAGCCGTCTGTTTGCTTCAGGAGGTTTTCATAAATAAAATATGTTTGTATTTATTGTGTGACTGCTCCTCAGCTGCTGCATTCACACTGAAGCTGCTCGTGTATTCAGACTTCTGAACAGCAGCTGATTGTTGGTTTGGTTAGAAGCAAACACTCAAAATATATTTTTGCTGTAATATTATTTGATTTCCATTAAAATACTGTAATATTTCACCATAAAACAATTATGTTATTTTCGCCGCTAATAATGCATAATAGAAAACACACTTTTCCTGCATAGTATATTCCTTTTAATTCCTAAGCATTAGCTGTATTTATGCAGGGATGGAACTGGTCGTATTACGCCTACTGGCCCAAAAATCTTTTTCCCAGTCAGTACAAAAAAAAACATCAGCTGTCACCGACAGTAACAATGAATTAATTTGCCAAAACAAAACAGTCCAACATTAGTCTAAAGTCTCGAGGAGCTGTAACAACAAATTCTTTTTGTGCCATTCATGTTTGTGGGCAGTCAACAAGAGGTCAGCCGGCTCAGCCAGAGAGGGTGTTCAGATCAAAAACAGCCCATTAAAACCACACAAGGGGGGTTGTATTGGTGGTGTCATACTGTGTAAAAGTTATTGAAATGTTTTACTTCAACAATTTAAAGTAATACTAAATCAATTCTTTAAGTTAAAAACATTCTTTATCAAGTAGTTTTAGTTATTTTAACACTGACTACATTTTGACATTTATATTTGTGCTGTTAAATAATACCAAGTAATAAGTACTTAATCAGGAATGTCTCTGTAAACCTAAAAAACTTGTAAAATATCACTTAAAATTAGAAGTAAAAGCTGCTAAATCAAGGATCTTGTTTGTGGCGAAATTGCCTCAAATACGATGGACTGAAAGGGATTTTTTGATAGAAATGAAATGATCTGAGGAAACATCTGTTTGGGTCTTTTACATTGATGAACTGACTTCTGCTGTCATTATTGAATGTATTCCTACAGTAAGGGAAGGACTGTAAAGTCATATGAAGGGCATGACATTATTACCTTATGCACACAAGGTAAAAAACATAATCTTTTGAGGCTCTGCGGGTTCCGTAGCTGTCACTTCCAAATTGATATATAGGACTTTGAATGCAGGGCTTATCAGACAACAACTACATTAGATTTTTTTTCCCTTAATGAAACAGAAGACAGTATTTTTTCTGCAAACAGAGAGTTGAAATCAAACAGAAGCAGCTGTTGTTTGTTCGACTCTCAGGAGAAAATCTGCAAATTAACCTTCCGGTGTTTTCATTCTCCTTCCAGCTGGGCCTCTCTGCTCGTCTCTCCGTCCTTTCATGTCTTTGTCTCGGTGTCCCCTCTGAGTCTGTCTCTGTGTTCACATCACATTCATATTCTGTTTACACTCTGCTCTCAACAGGCACTGCCTGCAAACATCACATGATGTTTACAATAAACAGGAGGAGTCTGTGTTTTTTAGTATGTCGTGTCTGGGACTGCACTGTATTCTGACATGTTAAATCAGTGCCGTGGAAACATGTTCCTGCTCACATCATCACCAGATATTTTAAAGCTTTGTAAACTCACAAGCAACATAAAACACTCTTAGGGAGTGTCTGAAAATGATTTGGGTGGAGAGGAGGCCTACAATTATATTTCAATAACAAAAGGAAAATTAATGAAAAATAAATAATGAAAATAATGAAAAAAGGCCCTCACCAATGTTATTTTCTTTGGACCCTCCCCTTTACATAAAAATATAGAAAAATAACTGCAACACTCATCCATTATCCATGCACTCATTATGTATCCATTAATAACTAACAGGCAAAGCATAAATAATTTAAGATGGTCTTCCTGGCTGAAACCACAGTATGTTGTTATATAAGGGTCACTTTGGTATGTTTCGACCTGAATCCTTTTCCCTATGTTTTTATGTATAATGGAGACAACAATTTTTAAAATTGGTCCAGTATTGAGTGAGACAGC